AAACTGTGTGTTGTGTTGTAAAGCTTTGGAACTGGGGCTGCTCCAGAGCTTTGTTCTGGTGATACAAAAGACCAGGACTCTAGCCACATGGCCTAGTAAACTGCTGACGTGCTCATTTTCCAATACATATTTTTTTATTATTTTCTGGGAACCTGTTTAAATGCTGTCAGTGCTTCGTCTGGCCTCTGTCTCATGTGTTCTGAACATTATTTCAACCCAAGGACATTGTGAAAAAATGTGAAATGCTGGCAATCATATTTTTCCAAGCAGTTACATTATATTTATCTATTCACCTATTAGCCACCTAAAACTTACTCAATGAATAATATGTGCCAGAAATTATTCAGTCACTGGGGAAATTTGGCAGTGAATAAACCAGACACCAATCTCTGCCTTCAAGGTGTTTGCCAAGGCTCAGAACAAGAGGATGCCTACTGTGTGTAGGGCAGAGCAAGGAGGCCACAGTGTCAGCTGGAGAGGAGTGAGTGTTGGAGAGAATAATGGGAAAGAGAGTCACAGAACAGGACAGAGAGAAATTATAGAAGCCTTGTCGGCCAGGGTGGAAGTTCTGCTTTATTCCTGGCAGAAGGGAAACTATTGTGCAGTCTCAGAGAGAGGAGGAATACGATCTGACTTCCATTTTGCCAGGATCAGTCTGGCAGCTGAGTAGAAACTAGACGGAAGGAGTGGGGAGAGAACAAGGGATGAAGAAAAGACCCTTGTTCCATGGCTATCATGGTGATCCCAGGGAGGAGAACCAGGACTGGAAACAGGGTGCTGTCCTGGTGGTGACAAATGGTAGGATTCTGGAAACATTCTGGAGTGTCAAACAGTACAGCCCCTTAGGACAGCAGTAAGGCACTTTCTAAAAACATGCAAATGGATAAAACAAAACTGAACTAAACTTCCGTTCACCGTACCATTCTTCAACTTCACTCCCAGGCACTTACCTCAGAGGGAATGAAAACTTCACGTCACACAAAATCTTGTGTGGAATTATTCATCCCAGTGTTATTTGTGATAGTACTAAACTGAAACGAAACAAAATTAAATCCCCTTCCAATAACTTTTATGGGTCTCAAAGGTATTATGCTGAGTGGGAAAAAAAGCCAATCTCAAAGTCACGTATTGTCTGTTTCCCTTTATATATACATTGTGTGCCCTTCAATGACACGATTGAAATGGTGAAATTAGAGAGATGGAAAATGTGTTGGCAGGGTAAGGGAGGCAGAGGAGGAAGGTCCGGCTCTAAGGGAGTGGCATGGCCCAAGGGAATGGTGGGGGAAGTTCTGTGTCTGGACTGCAGAGAAGGTTACCCCAATCCACATGTAGGTGACATGTAACTAACGGTCACTGGCACACCAGGGTCAGTTTCCTGGTTTTGACATTGTACTATCTTTATGTGAGATATAACCACGAGAGGAATCTGGGTAAAGGATGTGGGACCCCTCTGTGCTATCTGTGCAACTTCCTGTGAATTTGTAATTCTTTCAAAATGAAAAGCACAACTAGCTGGGGTGGGGGGTGGGGGCAGGAGGATGCGGGGGATGGGGAGGGTTCTGAGAGGCAGACAGAGTCCTGGCTATTCTTGGGGTCTTTTGTGTTCTTTGGCATTTGTGATTGTAATTGTGTCTCCTTTTGAATTCCTGTAGCTGTGTGAATCTTACAGTTCTTTAATGATAACAGAAGATGCTGATGAGGGCAAAAACTACATGGAGCCAACCGAATTCGCTGACAGCGCTGATGTGGGAGAAAGATCTAAAGATGGCTCCAAGAGTTTCAGCCTGAGCTTCTGAAAGAATGGAGTTGTAATTACCACCAAAGGCGTGGTTGGGGAAATCTATCAGAATTCAGTCTTAGCTGTGATAAATCCTGAAGCCTCTTTGACACCTTTGGAAGTCATTGGTTGAAAATGGTATTCTGAGCTTTACACCTGGATGAGATTCTCAGGGAGTGAGTAAAGATAGAGAAGAGAATCTGTGACTAAGATTGGGACACTCCAACATTTAGAGATTAGGGAGATAAAGGGAAAACCAGAAAAGAAAACAAGATGAATTGTTCAGACTGATGGAAGGAAAACCAAGTGAGGGGGCCATGACAGGAAGATAGATACGATCCGCCTGAAATGCTGAAATGTCAACAAGATGAAGATGGAGATCTGACCATGGCCGTGGCAGTATTGGAGGGCACTGGAGACCTGGGTAGAGTTTTGAAGGTGAAAGTGACTGGAGTGGAATCTGAGACAACTGCAAGAACGAAACAGAAAACACTGCTCCTGGTGGCTCTTGGCACCACTTTATTATAAAGGGAAGGAGGAGGACCCGTGCAGAAACCTGTAGATGTTAGTTTTTGCTTTTTTATGATGAAAGGGAAAGATCACATTTTGTTCTGATGGAAAGGCTCCAGTATGGAAGGAAGATTTGGTGCTGCAGGAGAGAGGAGAGAATAACTGCAGCGGTGTCCTGGATGAGGAAAGAAGGGATGGGACCCAGGATATGGGTGAAGCACAGGTGTCTTTCAGAAGACGTATAAGGGTGTGATGTGGGTGCGTGGGGCTGGGCAGGGAGGTGCAAGCTTGTGGAGCTCTGTATGAGCAGATTCTATCTTTCCAGTTCTCTCTGGCTGCATTCTGTCTCTCCAGTGAAAGAGAAAGCAAGGTCTCAGTGGTTGAGGGTGAGAATGGGTAGGTGCGGCTGGGAGCTAGCTCCAGGAGAAAGGAGGATACGTGTTTCGGTATGGTCTGAGGGCAGTAGAAAGCGCCCAGTGGAGTGGGTGATGGGGAGAGCGGATGTGTGGTTTTCCAGGGCACCTTCCTTCGTATGCAGTGTGTTGAAGCAATGGGACCTCTCTACCCTCAGATCGCCACAGCTGTCATTGCAAGAATTGTGCTTTCCTGTTGAGCCAATAGCTAGGCAATGCAGGCAACTGCTGTGACCTTGAGTCTCTTTTAACCCCCTGAATTGAGAGGTTATTTAGAAATTGTGAGTGTGGGGAGGCAAAAGGTGAGGAAAGGGACATCTAATGAGAAGAGGTGTGGAAATCAGAAGCAGAGCAGAAGCAGAACAGTCGTTTGTTTCATCATTTAAAGAACTTCGAAAGGGTTTCAAGTCATCAGCATGCAAATAATGATAGTTTAAGTTAAATGGAATAGTTTGGATATTTGTGTTATATTCATCCAAACAGTATTTATTGAGACTCTAGTACTGGGCCGGCCACCATATGTCAGGGATGAACTCTAGAAGGTGAGGGAGAAAAATGCAAGATGTGTGGTAAGTGCCCACTCTAAAGGGAGGTGGGCGTGGCTCAGAAAGATGCTCAGCTAGGAAGGCTGGACTTGAGATTTACAGGGCGAGTAAGGGAAGAGCAGGTGATGTGCGGTTTTCAGGGAGAAAAATGGTGAGGGCAAAGGTGACAGGTAGAAGGGAAGAGAAGCTGGGTGAAGAAGGCTGAAGGTTGGGAGCACATCATTCTTGCAGTTTTACTGTAAGATTAAATACCTCATGCTGCTGACATCTTCCTTCCTGTCAGTTAACTCTCAAAAAATTTGAAGGGTTATGATGCATTGCAAGATGAAAATTTTGACTGTAAGCAAACACAGTGACATTGCAAGAACCTTCACTTGGTTGGTATGGAAGGAGTTTGAAAACTGCATCTCCTCCCTCACCTTCCTCCCAGCTCTGGAGGGCATCTCCTTGATACTTTCTTGTCCCCTCGGCAGGTGGATAACTCACCATGACATAAACATGCTACTTGGAAGCAATTATAAGGAGAACAGGTAGCCATTTGTCATAGACGGCCAATGTAATGAAGTGCCTCTGTGTCATACCTGGAAGTATGCAAAGTGCTCTCAGATTATGATGACATTACCTTAACTTATATTGACCACCTACTGTGTGCCAAGTAGTATGCTGTTTTATTGACCACCTACTATGTGCTAAGTACTAACTTTTCATGTTATTTCACTGCATACTTAACAACCACCTTTTGAGACTGGCCTCATTGTTATCTCTATAACACAGAACCCTGTATTATAGCACTGGGGTGTTCTTGTTTCGCACACCTGAAGAATGAAGTACACAGAAAGAGAGGGTGAAAATTCAGTGTGAGATTTATTAGAAGCAAGCAAGGAAAACCCCACAGCATGGGAGGTGTCCCCGAGAGGGTACCTATCTTTGGAGGCTCTCTGTCTAGGGACCTTGTATAAATTTTGATGAGGAACTAAACTTTCATTAGAGAATCACTCTTGATTGTTCTCTTTTTTGGACTAAGTTTAAAGCACACGATTTTGATTTTTCATTCCAATAAAGGGATGGTTTAATGCCCTTGTCAACCCAAGTTCATCCTGTACTTGTTCCTTAAAACAAAAGCTTGCATTCAAAATAAACTAACTGGGGTTGACTAATGTTAGAGTAGTCAAGAAAACATAATTTCTCACGTGGCCTTGCCTTTCTGGGGCAATAACAGAATGTATAGGTTCCCAAGAGTGAGTGGGGCCTTCCAGTCAGGCAGCCAAAAATACACAAACAAAAAACAAACGGTTTTAATCTGGGACGGTGGGATCCCATTCTCTAAGGTTCTCATTTTTATCTGCCTATAGATAATTCATCTCTTGCCTCATCTCTGTTTTACAGATGAGGAGACTGAGACACAAAAATTACTCGAATTTTTAGGTCATGCTATTTAGGGCTGTCCCAGGACTTGGACTCTGGCTAAGTGACCCACTACAAAGCAGGAATCAGATGTCCTATTTGTGGGTGAGGAAATTTCCTTTGTATTTTTTTTTCTACCATATTATGAGCCATTTCTGTAAATCATTATCCTCTCTTTGCAAAAGTCCTGCCAAAGAGGTCAATGGGTAAAAGAAATGACACATTTCCAAAGATCTGCTTTCCTCTTTCAAGTTCTTTCTGGCCACTTCTTTTTCCTGTTGTGCAATCAACCCAACTCTTGGTCTGATGAGACAAGTCTGAACCCTCTTTCTATGGCTGGTCTTTGTTGATCTTCTAGAGATGAGATTAGGCTGAGAGCCCACTGGGAAGCTTTGGGTTCTGCTTGGCACTTAGTGTACCCTGGATGCTGGGTAAATGCTAATTACTGGTGATGATAACAAGGCATATAAAACCAGCTGTTCATGTTTCATGCTGTTCAGCTTCCCTCTTAGGGGAGGGGCCAGAGCAGCATGAAGCAGACAGGGTGGCCACTTCCCTGTTTAATGCAGGGCTCCTTGGGTGCTGTCTGTAGCTGTCCATTACAATTTGAATAATCCATTGTACTAAGAATAGAGGAACTAATTGAATTTCTACAGGGCTCCTAGGAGCTACAGTAACTCACTTTAGGATGATACAGTTACCTGCAATTGTCTTGCTAGAAAATGAAGAACAATTTGGCAACTGTGATTCCCTGCCCTGAATCTGTTGTTCCTATTTTGTTTTTAACTCTTCGGAGTGAAATTCCTCTCCCTGGGCCTCCCATCTCTGGATAAAAGTGGTGCAGACTCTAAGGAAGTGAGTATCTTCTCTGCCCTTTGTCTTGTTTTGTTTCAGGTGTTCTCTGACTTTTCACTTAACTTGGGGTTGAAGGGACCCCATTTCACATGGTTTCTGAGCCTGGGATAAATCTTCTGATATCTGGATTTTCTCCCTGCTATAGTTTCTGTTATCAAAAGCAGCAGGAAAGGCTTTACTTCTGAAACGAAGGGTAAGCTTAGAGATGAAGTGAACACATTTCTTGGTAAGTGTAAATACACAATATTTAAAATGCTCAGTTTTAAAATAAAATGATACCAATCTAGGACTGTCTGGCTGATCTCTAAATATTTCAGAGTATGCTCTTTGAATGTTTAAGAGGCACAGCCTAAAAATAAGTGAGAAGATAGAGTTTGCGATCACATGTATCATTGAGTTCAACTCTCTTCCTCAGGGCCAGGCTGAGGTGAGAGGCTTCTTTTATAATCCATGCAAGAGTTCAGATAAGGAGCACCCTACTTTCCATGTTCCTATGAGGAATTATGCTCTAGAGACAGAGGCCTGTCCCTGGGTTTAGGGGTAGTTAGGTGGTCTTTTGGGCATTGGTGTCCTCCACAGATATTTGGGTTGAAGCCATGGGAAGTGACAGGCATGGTGACCTAGAGAATGACAGATAACATGTGGAGCATTCTAGGTGAGTGGGTGGAGGTGAGGATCCAGGATTCTTGTAACCTGTGATTGATAATTTCATGTTCATTTGGGTAGACTACGGGGCCCAGTAGTTTGGTCAAACATAAATTTAAATGTTACAATGAAGGTATTTTTTAGATGAGATTGACATTTGTATTGGTTTTCTGTTACTGTAACAAATACCTGAGATAAATCAGCTTAAAAAGAGGAAAGTTTATTTTGGCTCACAGTTTTAGACATTTCAGTCTGTGATCCATCAGGCCTGTTGCTTTTGGAGCCTGTGGTGAGGCAGCACATCATGGAAGGAGCACGTTTTGGAGCAAAGCACTCACCTTGGTACATGCAAAGAATATAGGGAGGGGCTGGATTCCCATGATCACTTTTGAGGGCAATAATCTAAGGCCTTCTGCTAGGTTCCACCTTTTAAAGGTTCCACCACTTCCTAATAGTTGCTGGATGGGGACCAAGCCTTTAATATATGGGCTTTTGAGGACATTATAAATCTAAATTATAGCAACATTTACATCAGCAGAATTAGAGTAAAGCAGATTGTCCTCCATAATACGGATGGGCCTCATCCAATTTATTGAAGGCTGTCAGAGAAAAGACTCAGGTCCCCCCAAA